ACTTATGTATCCCGATATAAAAGCCACTACTCGGTTGTGTTCTTTTATCTATAGTGAAACATACATATTTTGTTTTGTTGCTGTTTAGAGTAAGTAAGTTATTCATTCTCAGCAGTTCTATTAACATCTGCCGTCGAGGATCCACTAAAATTATAGCTGTGTCATCAGTGTATGTAAAAATACTTGCTTTTTGAATGTTAAAGTTACACAGATCGTTTATAAACAATAGTAACAACGTAGGCTCCAGACACTACCTTGGGGTACTCCGTAGGATATTTCTTTTAAATCGCTGATGACATTTCCAATTTTGACGCATTGTTTACGATCTATTAAATAATCTCTTAGCAGCGAATTTGCAGTTCCTCTGATACCCATCTTTTCCAACCTCTGTACAAGAATAGGGACAGAAACGATGATGATGATGATGATTCAGAAGCTGACACTATAATATTAGAAAGCTAAAACTCATTATTTATCAGTCCGTCGGCATGCTGAATCTCATTAACCATAATGTATATTTAAATTGCCAATACAAGAAATGGGATAATTCCTATAAGTTTTAAGTGAACCTAATATTAAATCATAGTGTTAATTCCTATTCAATGGTACCTATACACATATCGTGTTAAGTTATTAAACAACAATAATATAATCTTTCAGTGCTTTAAAAAATAATTTGTGTACCATAGATATTTTTTATAAGTGTTCAGACTACGATCTTTATGAAGCTGACTGTACCTACTGAACCCCTCGTGTACTTTTCCGATTTGAACTAGGTTGATTTTTTCAACATTCATATGTGCTATTCCTGGAGCAAAATAAATATAAAAGTTGCTAACTGTTCCTTGTTATTTACGTAAAATTAAATTTGTAAAGGTATTGTAAGTAAGCAATCTATATGTCTCTATTGTATGCTCAGAGTTGCCAGAATGTTACTTTTGTATTATTTTTGACCCTGTGGCGTTACCCTCGCATTACCCGATTCAAAACGTGAATTCTAACTGAAAATAAATACATATTATTAGGTATAAACCTAATACCTATTATAAGAGTATTTTTAAATAACCAAATGGCAAATTCCGCTTTTGAATTCTTTTACGTTTTTGGCTCTCTTTGCAGTAAATATAAGGAGGACACTCGTACCGTTCATCGTGGTTTTATTTTATACTCCAAAATATTACTTATTATACAGTCTTATTATACTTATCGGGTCCTGGCAACACTGTGTATGCTATAATTTTCATCATAGTCAGCCGATTAATGTCCCCAATGCTGAGACTTAGTTTAAATGTTTGTGAATACATAATGATATTTAATGAACTTCCAATTTGCAATTGTGATGATACTATATAGGTACGCTAAGTTTTTTATGATAGTCTAAGTATACTGCCATAATCAGTAATTATTCTCATAATTACAATCTCTTTTCCATATGATATGTGAATATCATAGTTGTGGGGATAGTATAAATAACCTTATGACGATGACAATATTTAAATAAGTACCAGCAGGTATACATTAGTAAATGCAGCTGTAAGATTTGGCAAACTATCTGACAGTTTGTTTCTTATATTTTCACGCACTTCATTCATGAAATGTTACTCTGACTATACTATACTAATAACATTATTCTGATGACAACGACGCATTCCTACAAAGGATGCGAAACGTCAATAAATAAATAAAATCAGTGCATCTAACCCGTTGAAACTTGTTTTATTTATCTGACAGTTATTAAGATTTTGGGGATGCTATTTCTATAACAAAAAATTTAGCCCTCGCCGGATGCAAAACCTAAGTGCTAAACAAACCTAAGTGCCTATTAAGTTTTATTACTAAGCACTGAAACGCTCAGTCGCCAACTGAGCTCAGTACTAAAGATACTATAATGATAAAACTTACAGTTATTAAAAAAAATATGATGAATGACTCCTCTTCAGCCAATTTCTGTACGTTTTCCACCAGTAATGTCAGCGCCGTCTAAGGCGCTTCAAAATACTGCCACGGTACAAGTGACACATAAACTATTTACACGCGTCTTTGTTAATCTCGTGTGATTGACACTATCACATTGTATTTTGTGGTATAAAACTATATACCTTCTGGGATGTACCAAGCACGTGCGCCACAAGATCAAAGTAATCTCAAGTGTTGATATGAGAAACAATATTTTACTCGATATCAAAATTACCACGTTTGATGACGTTGTCTATTCATTTTCGAACAAAATCCTGGGTTTCAATTTCATTTTGGGAACATTATTATAAAGATTTGGACTTTTGCTTAGTCCCGTTGCTATAAGCTGAAACAAGATGCCATATAAACTAATTTTAGAAGTTCATCTTACTATTAAATTTCTTATTTTGGTGAGAGATGGAATGAGCATTCCCAATCAAGGTATTTCTCTACTAACCCCGGGTGAACGTGAAAAGGAACCAGCAGGCGAGGTTGGACCCCGACTTGCCCATTTCCATCTATTTACATATACCTATATAACTGGTTATCTCACTGAGAACTAGAATTAACTAAGTTTGTCACCAATATCGATCAAACGAGCCGTAGAACCTCTGAAATCCACTCAATAGCTTATTCAGTCTAGTCTATGTGGTATTTGTGGATAAAATATATTAGTAAGGATTATATTGTAAGTACATGGTAAAGTGTTATGAATGTTTGATATTCATATGATTATAACCTTTCATGACAACTTGTTGGTTTATATACACCTTAACTTTGAACTACTGTATTCAGCTTAGATATTTATAATTAGTGAAACATAGTTATTATATAAATAATAAACATAGTTAGACTTGTTGATTTATATAAGCAATAACTTAAATCTACTGAAGTCCTAGGCTTTGGTATCTGAAGTGGATAAAATAAACTTATAACATTATCTTAATTTTTTGGTTTTCTTTTATTGTTCCCCCGGTGCTCTGAGTGGGCTAAAGGAGGGCTGTTGAAGAGAATTAACATCACATGTGGAAAACCAGAAGAAGCAAAGCAAGGGGTATGTGAGACTCCTACCTGATCGTTTCGTCCAGTTCAAAAGCGCGACTCTAAATCTAGATAATGTAACTACTACTAAACCATTCACCCCACACGCGCCCTAAGAACTGAGATCCCTAGAATGCGTGCCCAGAGAGCGGGCCCAGAGAACGCATGTGGCCATGGTCCACTGTTAAGACAGCCGATGCACAGACAATGTGATTGGTGATTATTGGATTACCCTGATGCGCGATGCCCCAGAGTGTTAAAGGCGCCACTCATATCATTTTTACGCAGACCTCTTATTGCACTCCCACATCAAGCACGCTGGTTTACGGAATGAGAATACCAGATCAAGTGCCCATGCTCCCGCCGGTCGTTCCCATCCGTATCCCAACGAGGCCAGGAACCTCTGGATAGATGGCTTCATAGCATAGCATTGCGGGGGGTAAAAGTGAGTTCTATAGAACATTGTATTTAATACTTAGTATACAACAATTCTTACTGAAATATAGAAAGCACGTGAGCCATGAGATAATTTAACCTCAAGTGTTGATACGATATCAATCCTTGATGTGATATCAGAAGAACAACGTCATCAGGTACTTCAGCTGTCCAAACTCTCAAATTATGTTCGACCACATGTGAACCTATGTTTGTATCCCTAAATAAATAGTGAAAGAAATCCCAGCAGTGCTCCGATGAGACCAAAAGCGTGAGTAGGAACAGAAATGAACTTTCGCGGGGTGTTAATATTGATGGATTTCTTATTTTCACCACATTAGCTTGACAGCACATTCTGCCACATCTACATAGTAGGTAGTCTGGGAAAAATAGATATAAATACCAGCGTTATAGCGTATAACGTATAACATCAGCTAACACGAATTTTGAGTTTGAGTTCTATGTACCAGATTTTGATTTCTTATACCTAATGAATGAAATTTTAAATTATATAGACAACTGCTAGTTTTTTTTTTGTGATCTTTATCGAGAAAACAAACAATTATTTATTTACATCGGTTTTTTACACTGAGGACAATAAAACCGAGTCTATGAATACAAAAAGATATTAATTTAGTTTTGAAAATTAATATTTTAAGCAGTTCTTATAATTTTAGTCTCTGAAAATCAGGGAAAAATATCTTCAGAGTTTTAACGTAGAGCCTTAATAAGTTGTTTCATTAAGCCTAATTTTGTATACAACTCAGCCATTAAAATAGGCATAAGGTCCATAACGAATAAGAATACATCATGCTTGATATTATGTTTATTTTTCTGACACTGAAAATTCTGCTGCTAGTGAAGGAAACAAAGGTAACAGGGTAAATTAATATATCGTCAAAGGGCGCCCATATTTAATACTAACTTCGAATAGGAAGTTAAAATTCAAGTTTAATATGCTTAACTTAGTCTTTTACTACCAGCTAATTAATTTTATTGGCCCGTAATTTAATAAAATCTCAGCAAATATAGAAAACGCCAAGAAGTTTTTACCCATTTGGAAGGCATTTCTACTTGCAAGACTCACAAAATATATTATTTCCCAAAAATGTGTGTACGCACACTCAGTGACTGCTTTACTGCTTCCTGTTTCATACTCGATATCCTTCTGCATTCCATTTTATTGCTTAGTAAAAGCAGAAGTGCCTCGGCCTTGTATAAAAATCATACATTTCTATTTATCATGGTAAAAAGTCCAAACGCAATTTTTTTAAATAAAAATGAGGATTTTGGTTATTTTTCGATGTAAACAATCAGACAAGTCATTAAATAACAGTTTATAAAAAGGGATCTTTTTGTTGACTTGTGTAATGCTTTCCAAACGTAATAAACAAGGATGAGAAAATAATAATATCTATGTAGCTATAAAAATAAATGTTCTAACTTTTGATTGGCCATAATGATTTTCATCAATGTTAGCTAAAGGGTCATAAAATTACCCTTACGCATGTCCAGAATAGATTTCTGAGAGCTAATATAGTGATTTGAATGGGAAATAAAACGCAAAGGTATTATGATAATAAGGTTTCTTGTTTGATTAATACTAGTTTACAATAAGATTACTTTACCATTTCCTTACGAGTTAAATGTAATATTTAGGTGTATATTCACAATGTACAATACGTTAGTTTGTCTTATAGTTAAAATTCTGACAGTCCGCCGGGCTGCCCGGGCGAAGGGCACTTCATTTAACACACTGGCTAGAGAAATTATTTAACCAACCGAAACAAATTATATGTTGTTCATCATTAGATCAATGTTATACAAAATACACATCATTAAATTGTCATAACACTACAAAATACTACGCTTAACGAAATAACAAGAAACAGAAAGAGCACGTTTGATATATTTTCACAATAATTATTTAGCTGTTGCGTCGACAATTGAGATGCCTATATTGAGGATTAGCTTAAATTGTACGCACGGATTTATCAGAACATGCACATCTGTGATTGGGATTCGTTTTTTAATTATTGGATTTTATTGCGTTGCAAAGTCGTGTAACGCGGCAAACTACTTGAGCAAAACCTCAGACAAGTAAACTTGCGCAGTAGATGTTTTTGTATCTAAAATTTCTATCGCGCAGGCATCCTTGTCGTTGCTCAAGAAGTTTGCCGGTCGGTACACTAACATTAAGACAATGGGCCAATAATTCAATTAATTAAACATATTATGCATCTATTTCATTTTATATTTTGCACACCAATGTTCCGTACGAACAAGTCAGTTCTTACTTTAAAATACATGCGTGAACTTAGCTCATCATTTCTCAGCAGATCAAAATTAAATGTGAATTCGTTTCGCTCGCAGCTGAGTACTATAGTTCCTGATACTTTTGAGAAATAGTTCTGGCGTTTTTACGTGAAAAGGATAAATAAAAAATATGGTCTGCTAACTTCCCGTAGCATATCATTTTGCAGCAAATCTAAAACGAATGTGAGTTCTTTTCGCAAGCAGAGTTCTATAGTTCCTGATACTTTTTAGAAATAGTACTGGCGTTTTTCGCGAAAAATGTCAATTGACAAAATTAATCAATCATTTTGCAGCAAATCAAAAACAACAGATACATTTAATTTTGATCTGCTGGGAAATGATGTGCTAAGTTTACTAAGATCTTTAAAATAAGGTAAATAATTTTTTTTGTTCATTAATATGTTGAATGTACGGTCAAGCACTTATGTTTACCGAAGTTTTCTTAAGGCATAGATTTTGAACTCACGACGAACAACAAGTTAGGAAACAATTGGAGAAAATTTAGACTGGGACCTATTTGAGAACATAATAATGACTTTGCATTTCGACACCCAACATAAATAACATTCTAACTCAATGTGACATAGTTTTCAGGAGAGCCATTTTAAGTTTTTATTTTAAATTTCATTATTTATATGCAGCTGTTGTTTTAAGTTATTATATAAAATTTATGGTGTCATATTGATTTTAATTGCTCTTTCAAATTATCTATATATCATTTTGAGAAAACAACTGTAAGTAGGATTTTTGCAATGTTACAAAAGGTAATGTTACAGGTGTAAGCGTTTGTGAGTTTATGAGCAGCCTTCTCTCTCAACGCAGCATTGATATTGCGGGCCGTTTTCGTCGCAGTTCCGCGTTGAAACTCATCAAAAAAAATACTCGGATTTTCTTCATCTACAATTTATAATTTAATCGAAAGGTTATTAATTTTAAATTACAATGAAATTATTTTGTTTCACAATAATAGTTGTAAAAATCATAGAAATACGGTTCAAATACAGACAAATAAGTCTGATCTTGCTGAATTAATATGTGGCAAAGTTGTATTAACGTGTTTTTTTTATGTTATAGGGGGCATACGAGCAGACGGCTCACCTGATGGTAAGTGATCACCGTCGCCCATGGACACTTGCAACATCAGGAGTATCACAAATGCGATGCTGGCCTTTAAGGAAGGAGTACGTAAGTGTAAGTAAAGTCACGATATTATTCATATTGGGTGTCGATTTATTTCCTAAAATTGCAACTAAAACATAAGAATTTATTGTATATTTTTGCAGTTATCGAAGTTTGTAAGGATACAATATTTTTCTTTCTATATTAAGAAATCTTGCAATGGTACCAGTTCCAACGTGTTTGTAAAAACAATACTGGCAAATAGTGCAGAAATAAAAACAAAGTTTTTATTTTATTGTTTGTTAAACCCAAATTATAATTTATTTTAATTTGGTCATCTAACTTCCACTCCGTTGTACTGAGCATATGTATCACTACATGTAACTAACACGAAATAAATACTTACATAATTTATTCCAACATAGTTAAGTAGCTAAGGAGGCAGTGTAATTTTAAGTGAGCAGGATTATGATACGAATCCATTTATTGCTTTGATAAATAATTAAATGAGAAAAAGATAATAATATCAATACTACCCATTACTGTCACGTGATATCAAATGAAGGCTGTCTAATTATATTTTTCCTTATGTTACCTACTTCAAATGATGTGTTTTGTACTTATTTGTTTTTTTATGAAATCTGAAATCTTTTCGGTCGAAAATAATTTATTCGTTACATTATTGATAATTTTATTAAATGAAACCAAAATCTATGATTTTACTTTAACAAACTTATCTAAAATGGCTGTCTTGTCTGTACTTTCATTGATTATCACGTGACAATGCTCTTAAATAAGGTCACATTGTTATTCTTATGCTTTGATACACGGAAACTATTTAGCATGGCAATTATTATTTATTAATATTGTATAAAAATACGTGTTAACAGTTAAGGTATTTATCATAATTTCCCCTAGCTGTTAGTCTTATAATTTTTATCGTCTGTGAATTCTAGGATCAGACGTATATTATGGCATTTACGTGTATCGCATTACTCTGAAATTATCTCCGATGTCAAAATAAATTTTAGATATATAATGAAACCTGCGCAGTAGGAATTTCACATACAAAAATGTCTACTGTGCAAGTTTATTTATCTATTTGCTCAATAAGTTTGCCTCTACATATACTGATACTAATTGAGTAACCAATGTATGTTTAACACATTTTTTTAAGGATTTATTCTCGGATATATTACAATCTGAATATTTGCCACAGTGTACATCTGAATCCTTATCATTATTTTTGTATGCAACTACGACAGTTTATTACCTTTTCTTATTTTGTCAACGATATAACAATAAAAGTCCGCCAAAGTCATCGCCACTTCTCCTAACGAATTATATTTATGTACATAAAAAAACAAAATACTTAGAAGTACTTCTTTAATAATAAATTCGTATTAAATCATGACTTCATTGAGAACGTGAGACAATTGCAGCACCCTAAACTGTCCTTGTGGTAAATCATTATGCCAAATTTAAATGGTTTAAGATATTACTAGCATAGTATTTTTAATATAAAACAATATTATATATAAATCTACACAGAATTCATCATAATGACTATATAAATTGACGAAACAAAATATTATTAAGTGATACTTATAGATAAGACTGAATTCGTTATATGCTGTGAACATAATAGATGAAAATATCAAATATTTTAACATGCTATTTACATTATTTAGTAATATACTAAATTATGTATATTATGACACAGTTACGGGAATACGCAACAGAAGTCTATGTTCAAGAAATTAAATTTCGAATTGATAAATATTTACAAACGCCAAAATAACTAACCGTTATGTTCATTGTACTTTAAAACGAGTATTTTTGTATTTTTTTCTTACATTATTTTGCCGTCATCGTAACACTTGCCTGTATTGCATTATTCCCGTAAAATCTATGCATATAGAAACATAGTCACACATAAATACATCTCACTTAAAGACCGTACATGTAATGCATTTTAATGTACAAAGTATTTACATTAACTATTTTTTTTATAGTCCGACAAATGACTCCACCCCACCTGATGCTAAGTGAAGGTGAAGTCCAGATGCGATGATAGCTGATACAGCAGTTGTACCTGCCACACCAGCTATCCTCACCATGCTGGCCTGCTAATTAGCGCATCCACCATTATTTATGAGTTCATTAAACCGTGGTTTTTACTCATGATCAAAATCGGTGAGGCTTACTTTTAAAGCACTCCAGTAACATTCGATTGTGCTAGGGCCCTTGGAACAATTATTTCTAAGTAGCACTTTTTACGATTTTTCGTCTTAATTCGGTATTGGAGACGTCAGTCAAGGCATCAACATAACATCAACATATTGCAAATTTAAGATTTAGTACCCGCTTTGACCAACTTGAAGATTTATCATTTCAGACAATACAGTAGTAATAAATTATCTAAATTAAATTAACAAAAACAGGACGTGAAACATAGGAAAGGTTTTCCAAGAAATTGATAATCAAAATATCAACCCAAATCAAACTAGTATTAAACGTTCTTAAGATTCTGGCAAAGACCACAAGCAGACATTCCAGTTTCAGTCACAAAGCCGCTTTTCTCGATATCATCCTGAATATCTCAAATACAACACTTGAAAAACGTAAATGAATGTTCAAATAATACGACACTTGAGAAATACTAGCTGATAAATGCAAATCCATCGGTACAAATTCTGAAAACCTAATCTTGATCTTTTGATAATGTTGACATTAGCGCGCCTCTAATATTTTACTAAAATCATACGCGTGCTTAACACACCGACCCCATTATCGATAAACGAAGACTAAGTTTGGATTAGTTACTCTATGTTTTGTCTCAGCAACGCAGTAAAAATATGTTATATTATTATGTAAAAATTTCACGCGCGAATTCACATCGCATGAGCGCGTGAAAATTTTACAGAATAGCACTACACAAAAAGACAAATGGTACCTACTTGAGAGATACGAACAAAACACGGCATAACTATTCTAAGCTTATTTCTCGTTTATTAATAAAGTATCAAACGTTTACGAATTGGTAATACCATGCATTTGAAGTTTAAAAAATAGTGTATAATTTATTACTAACGTTACTTATGTAATAATTATTGTAATCAGCCGCTTTTATTGACGTTAATTAAATTGTATGCTTGTCAAAAGTATTTAATTTCAGTGTCTTTATCTTTAAATCAGATCTCCCTATTCCATCCATAGGGAAGGCATTTGCCCCAGCAGTGGGGATATTAATAAGCTGTGATAATGATGATCTTTAAATAATACTATTACTGGTATTAATAAACTGTTCCTATGTTACTTATTATCTCAAGATGTCAAAAAATTTGTGTGTGATTTTTTAAGCACCACCAAGCTGACATAGTAACTTCTCCGATCGATCTTCGAATTCTTATGAGGGAATCGCATATTTTAGTAAAAGCTTTAATGAATTGATTTATTGCCAAAATAACCATAACCAATATAACGTTCCAATTAAAACAATGTGCCTATAAAAAATTTAAACATTCCGTCTTTTTCAAATCCTATTACATGCTTACGAATAAAATATCAATTGTTTTTCAATAGCTGAAACTAATAGCGTTACATTTTCTGTTTTATCTGATATATTTGACAATAAGCCAGTTTTGTAATGGGAATGTGTAGTGAATATATTATAATAGTTTAGTCTTTTTGTATTATAATTAACAGATGTCCCGATTTTAATAGCCATCAATAATTTTACATACAGTCAGCAAAATAATTATTAAAAATACGTATAGTTATTCAGAAAAAAATCTTCGTCGTTATTTTTATTTCATTGAAAGGCAAGTAAACACTGCAATATAAATTGATAACATTCATACATCCTCGCCTTACTCTAATTTCAGACAAGTGCAATCTTGTGACTCAACTTAACTCAATCATTGCAGTTATTATATTACAATGCCAGACTGTAGGTATTTTAGTTGTTACATAAAATACCGAATATGCATTATCAGTTAAATTTGCAGTATCACAAAAGTAAATTTTGGAAACATTAAAGTTAAAATATCATCAGATTACGAAGCATTGGGATGGACAGAATCATTTCTTAAATACGAACGTTAAAATAAAAAAAAAAACTATGAATCGATATGTAAAAATGTTTTATGCATTTGACTGTCTATTCTTCACAAAGAATTAATTAGAACAGACGTGTGTGCGTATGGTCCTGCTTTTTATGGTAGAGATTACAGTATGACTTTGTTAAAATTATACTTCATAAAGATAAATTTAAAAACAATTTCAATGAGAACAAACCTCTCACCAGGTTTAACATATATCCCGCCCTTAGTGCTATTAAGTGTAAATTAAAATTAAAAGAAAATACAAATCCGACTTGTTTCCACATAACAAAACATAACAAACAAAATGTGATAGTGATTCAAGCAGTACTGGTAATACCGGATCATATTTTAGCAGTTTCTTATGTTGCATCCATGAACATAATTACTGACAAGCTTGGAGAAAGAACTAGAAATTATATTGATAAAAAATATTTAATATAGTATGAGTAATTGCCGATTTAATAGTCCGATATCGTAAACAATCAATCACCAGAGTCAGACAGCAATATGTATCAACTCGTTGTACTCACAGGGTTAGCTTTTATGAAGATCACTAGGAAGTTACGCTCGTCGAAGGCAGTGGGCATTACGAGTATTGTGCGATACGACTTTTCGTCTGAATAGTCCGAAGTCATAAACATTCGCCAGAGAAACAGCAATGGGTCTTAACTCGCTGCACTCATAGGATGTTTTGTATAAAATAATATGTAGATTGCCATGGAGGTTTCATTGTGTAGATCACCAGGAAGCTACGCGACAGCTCGTCGTAGGCAGTGGGCGTCACGGGCCAGGGCTGAAGGGCTGGAGGCAGACGCGGGGGGCGCGGGGTGGGGCGGCGGCGGCGGGGGCGCCCGGGCCGCGCGCCGTCATACCCCGTCCAGCTGTCGCACGCGGACGTCCTGCGACGCGCACATCTCTGGCGCCAATGGCAAACAAGTGAAATACGCGCACGCAGCACACTCGTACGCCGGCGCCGCATAAAACAAAGCCACTAGCGCGCACAACATACCCCCCGCCGACACCAAGCACACCCACACTAATACAATCTTCCTCCTCCTATCGTACATCCCGAAGGTAACAAACGGCAGCAGCGCGTACGACAGCAAAAAGCCAAACACGAAACCGAACACGTGCGCGAAATTGTCGATCCACGGCAGCAGGCCGAGTATGAATAAAGCGAACGCGATAGCGATCAGCTTCAAGAGTGTCTGTTTCGGGTGTTTCAGGATTCGCCACGCTCCTATCACTTCCACCATTAGACATGCCAGCAGGCCAAAATGTGATCCAGCTGGTCCCACCTGAAATAAACAAACGATAGATTAAGGATGAGATATTTAGATAGTTTAAGTCTAAGAAGGAAATTCAAAAGTATACAAACCTCTGCTCTATAAGGCTCGAAGATAGCAGATGCCATATTTCCGGCGACTCCACTACCCAAATAAATGATAGCTATTCTAACTGGGCCAGCCATCTTTTCCAGGTCCCTCATGAAGAGCCACTGCAAGGCCAAAGTGGCTGCTAAATGCAGCAAGCCCGCGTGCACGAATAACGATGTCCACGCGCGGTAAAGCTGGTCTGGACGACGTCTGCGCATAAACGGCAACATTCCGCAAACGTCGTCTAGACACGATACCTAGAAGAAAACAATTCCAAATTTATTTTCAAGAATAATTATTGTTCTGTAGAAATTCTTAGTTATATCAACGAATAAGGACTTCGTTTTCTTTCGGAAAATTTTATCATCTGATGGGTGAGGAAGAATTGATTATTTTAAGCTCCTATTGGGTTCTTAAGGCACACTGAGCTCTCTTCTTGATTTTTACATCTGCAGTCGTTAGCACATACTAAGCTGCACTATGCCATTATGACAATGGGTTTTGTAAGGTCGTCCAAGTGTAAATTTAATATGTAGTTTATATACATTTTGATAATACGGTAGAAGGAAGAAAAATCCAATATAATCCTGTGAACACAACAAGGCTTTTTTTTTAGTTTTCGTGATAATACTACTGGACGAAGTGGTTTTCCTAATTATAACGAAATGCTCGTGTATCCCTATATAGCAGGGGTGGCCAATGATCTCGCAGATCATGTGCTGCTATGTAGACCATATAAACATTGATATCAGGGTGGAAAGGCTCATACCTGTGAACAAAGTGACGCCTCTTCATGAAAGTACCCCTTTACGAAGTCGCAGTGTTCTCTCGTAGTTATAACGCACTGGCCGTGCACCCCTATGCAGCAGGGGTGGCCGATGACTTCACAGGCCATGTGCTCTGCGGCGTGACCGGCTCGCCCCGCGGCGGCTGAACCGTCCAGCACAGACTTGCGGCAGATTGGCCATTTCGTAATGTCGTCGGGCCACTCGTGAGGTGCTATTGAACGCGGCGCTTCGCAGAACCTGAAAAATTGTTTTATTTAATAAGAAAAAACAATTGGAGGTTGTCGATAAGAATAATATGAATGCAAAAGGAGAAAATGATAAGGCATCTGGGAGAGAAGAATGGAGGGACCACTGCACCATTAAATAAAATTGCTACCAGGAAATGGAATATGAGAAATGATAATAAGATGACGGTAAAAATGAAAGATCACATATTGCAACTTCCTAAAAAAATTGCTATCAAATGAAGGAAATAGAAATAAACATATTGTTACATCCGTCATAAGACGGATTATGAGTCAAAAATGAAGGAATATATGTACACGGCCATGAAGGAATAACTGGTGAGCTGAACATCTGATAGGAAAGAATGGAAGGGTAGATACTGCACCAACAAATTAAATATCTACCAGGAAATGGAAGGTAAAGAATACACTGAATACACAACAGTAAAACGAATTATGAGTACAGTTTTTATGTGAAAGGCACTCAAAGAAGAAGACATGAAAACAATAAGCAAATTTAATGGCGTCTGTTACTTACTTAGGATCTAAACCACAAACAGAACCCGATATCCGACCTCCAGGGCCGGATTCTCCTGATGACCATTTCTTCCACGTTGATATTGTATTCTGTAAACAAAATGACTAATCATTAAAAGCTCCTTTGGTTGGTATATATATTTAAGTTTTAGCTAAGAAAATTTTTACAAAGAGTTGAAATATTCGTTACTTACCTTTGCTATTAATCCTCGTATCTAATTTAGTAAGCGTGTACAGAAGAAAGTTACAGTTAGCGAAATTAATAATTTCAATTGTTTTTAAGATTCTAAGGGCAGCAACAACATTCTTAATTCAAATTATGACTGAATCCTATTTAACACATCATTTCTTTCTTTAACAATTGTTTAAAGTAAAATAGAGGTAGAATGAAGCTTAAACATAAATTTGTTTTTTTTTATTTAATTTTGAGTATGTTGGTGCAAGTAGTCCAAAATTTGTGAATAGTGAAATGCTGGATTCTTTGTGTTATTAACTTAATAATATGTAAGTTATTGTAATTTTATATCAACTTTATGGCCAACAGATTTATTGAAAGATCCAATCTGTTCCAAAACTACTTCATATGGGGCCTCAACAACAAACATCGGGTGGGGCGAAAACATTTGCTTATTATAAACAAAGAAGGAATTTTATGATATTAGTAAAATAGCACAACTCACTGAACAATCAGCCTTCGAGGACTGCACGCAGCCAGAATCATCGTTTCGTATGCAGCAAGCTGTGTCCCTCTCTCTCCGAGCTGACGCCGCTATCGCCCGCGCTATCCTGACGTCCCTTCTCATGCATGGTGCGAATTTTGCCCCTAAATGTATTAGATCCGCTGCCCTTGGGCCCAGCCAGAACGAAGCGGGCTCCTCCCATTCCACCTGGAACGAACACGTTATTATGTTCAATTTGAGTATTCAATTAATATTGCTTTCGTTATGTAAGAAACAGCAGAAAGCCCTACCTCTGTATTATTGTGATGGGCAACTAGGGAAGGAATTCTTAAATGAAACCCTGAGATTCAGCAGTTTTTTTTTGCATTTGCATATTACTCATAAAATTACTCGGTTCTAAGCTAGGAATATAGAATTGCTTGAGATGTTAAATTTACTTCTTCAATATCCTTTATTAGTCCATTTTGATGTGTTATTTTTTTATAGGTTATAAACGGTCAAAAACCTGTTCGAAAAAGAAAATGATAATTCTCCTTGGGATTTGGGAATCACCCAGGCCATTATCATGTTCGTAATAATGTTATCATAGGATGTATATGCTAAATTGTGTAATCCAATAATCCCAGATACAAATACAGACTCATAATTCATAACAAACATAATTTCACCTTTGCCTAAACAAAAACACATCTGCAATTTAAATGAAAGGCGCCTTTAAGAAACTTATCAGGAGGTATGCCGAAAAATTTACATTGCAAGATAAAAAAAATATGCAAAGTCCCCATTGTTGGTACGCTTGTAAATATGCCACAGTGTAAGCTATACAAAAATTAGACAAAAGGAACGCAGCGGGCGACGACCACCACAAAGGCTGACCTATATACCGTGCTAATGCCCTTACTTTGTGTCTCTATCTGTCGCCCGCTCCGGGTACTCCCCTATGAATAATTGTTCAGTTATTATACACCTAACTTTCACAAGCCCTATCTTTTTTTTAGTGCTGCTAGTGGTACGTCGTTAGCGAGAAAATCCATTTACAGCATTAACATTAGCTAAATAAACTTTCGGTGTATTTTCAAAGTAGCTTATTTATAATGTTGCTAGTTTTACCTATTATATTGAGAATAATACAGATACTTTACGGTACCTGGAAACTTCTCTATAAAAAATGTTCGTAATCGGCAGGCGAGAAGCAATCAATAAGAGATGGAGCGCCGTCATGCCTCCTCAATTTAACGTTGGGATGACGTAGAAAACCATAGTTTTCGTCGAAGTCGGTGTTTTTTATACATAATGACGCATCAAATTACCCAATTGATTTTAGTTTAATAGGTATTGTTGTTGTTGTTAATTTAGTTGTGAAGATAGCTGATGCGGCAAAAAACTGTGGCGCATCAGCCATGTACACCTTGCCGTCTCTCCAAACCCCTAATCGTTGAATCCTGGAGTAAGTCAATCAACAGCAAAAAAAATTAACTTAGTTCCTGTATAACTGTTCCTAGTATTACGTTACTGGGGTATCTGGAGGCTATTTCTTCTTTTTCTTTTCTTAATATGCAAACGAAAAGTATTTTTTTTAAACGTAAAACCGATAATGAATTAGATAAATCATCGTTTCCTAAATTCATTTACTGGATCGAAAATTCAACTCGATGGATTCTTAAAGTTTATAATTTATATAACTCATTTTCATGCAAACATTGATGCATATTTTTAGGTAACTAACAATCTAATTACATAAAACTAGTTTCTTTTTTTCTTTTTTTTTCACGGGTCATTAACCCGTGAAAAAAAAGAAACTTTATTTATTTATTGATTTATTTATTTATTTACAAGCTGCGTCGTCGGAATCAATTACAAAAAAAAAGATAGTCAATAAATAAATAAAGTTTCGTGCATTAACCCGTGAAAAACTAGTTTTATTTAATGAGTGATGTGCGTGAAAACCTATGAAACAAATGTAATGTAATTACAGTTATTACGTTGGTAAAGTTGAACTGTATTAATTTTATGTTACTTTGACAATTAAACTGCTGGACTTTTTTTTGTTCTATAAAACACTGAACTTGGCCCTGGTAGAATTGTTTCTTGTAAAATATTATCTGGGTCTATAATAATATACTTAAATTTGAAACACAATACAATAATTAGTCATATCGAAGCCTTGCTTTGCTGGCTTTCAAATTACTCGTTAGTAGAGTCATCAGGGGCCGGCCTATTTTCGATTCGTTCGTTGATATTTATGCCTGATATTCATTAATTTTAATCAGGTAACGTAGGCAGAAATACGATTTCAAACATGTGATTAAAATTGAGGTTCAGATAATGCATGATGTCAAAACGGACGAAGATTAAGAAGACAAAAGGAACAAATATCCAGTTACAAAGCTTGACCTACATTCGCCCCGCTAATGCCTTTACTCCGCCTTTAACTGCAAAAACGCCCTTAGGCTTTATCTCATACATTATAAGAACTGAAGTAACCTTTTTTAGGGTTCCGTAGCCAAATGGCAAAAAACGAAACCCTTATAGATTTGTCATGTCCGTCCGTCTGTCCGTCCGTATGTCACAGTCACTTTTTTCCGAAACTATAAGAACTAAATTGTTGAAACTTGGTAAGTAGATGTATTCCGTGAACCGCATTAAGATTTTCATACAAAAATAGAAAAATAAACAAGAAATTTTGGGAGTCGTCATACTTAGAACAGAAACTCAAAAAAAATTTTTCATCAAACCCATGCGAGTGGGGTTTCTATGGTCTTCAAAAATAATATTGAGGTTTCTAATTCCAATTTTTTCTAACCTGAATAGTTTACGCGAGTGACACTTCAAAAGTGATAAAATGTGTTTCTGTAATTTTAACATCCAGCGAGAAAAGAATTTTAAAAGCTTGATGATTCAACGTTGAGTTCGTGGAAGAGATTTGATTTAGTCCCTAGAAAGTCTGGCCTTAGTTGCCTTTAAAACTCTAATGATTCGGTCATCATACACAATTACTTACAGCAAACAATTAAAAAAAACTCCAGCCTCTTTAGACGGACAAGAACAATGTATTTAACGTAAAATAAGTTCATTTTATGGTTTTCTTTTCCTCCTTTACAATCCGCCAAAAAAAAATATTTCGCTATAATTTTGACTTCCTTCTAAACATCTTCCTTTTAAAACCAACTCCATTTTTTTTATTAAACAACATTAAGGAGCTCGGTGGCTTAAGTGGTTAGCGTGTTCGGCTGCGATCGTTGAAATTAAGAAACTTTCGCAGTGGTCGGTCATTGGATGGGTGGCCAAAAATTTACTATCTCGAGCTCCTCCGTACTTCGGAAGGCACGTTAAGCCATTAGTCTCGGCTGCATCTGCAGTCATTCGCGTGGTGGGTCATGGCACAATCTCCCTATTCTATTCAGAGGGAAGGCTTATGCCCCAGCAGTGGGGACATTAATAGACTGATGATGATGATGATATAATATTATACATTATATAGGACCGATGTTACAACAAGATTTTTATTAAATTGTCCTTTTATTTGGTAAGTGATTAGATTTTTCGGCTTAATAAAGATAATGATCAAAACTATGTCACCAAGAAAGGATTTTGACTTTCAGAGATGCTTAAGTAAATAATTAAACACTGAGTAGTTATTTACTACTTACTTAATCCTTACTTAGAATAGAGTCGTGCTGCCTTAATAAGCCTAAATAAGCTTCACTCGTCACCTTTATTGAAAAGCACTAAGCCGTGCCAAATATGATGTAATTATGGTCTTGACGTCACACCTAATAACGTTAAATTCACACTCGGATCTAACTCCCAAGTTTGTTTACGCGCGCACACAAACAAAGGATCTAGGCGGGCGTGATAAATTCACGAAGTAAATATTGTGCATTGTCTCCTAAGCGCCATCTCAGACATTAAATCTAGAGGCGTGTTTTGTCTAAAAGCTTTCCCTCATTTAACCTTGTTACGGCAACTTATGTACAAAAGAAACGGAATTTCAACGCCGTCGCACATTATGCCTCCCAAATGACGGAGATCCGACGGACGTTTTAGTGTTAAATTTAATTTTTTATCTGTCTAATAGCTTTCACGAGGTGTAACCGCAACAACGTTACTGCTCCCTTTGGATAAAACCACCCCCGTAAACGTAATGAAATAATTAGCATAACAATAATAAATGCCAACGTTCAACATTGTTCAGATTGTATTATGTGTAAGTACCTATTCCAATCTTATATTTTTATGAATGTGGATTCACTGGAGAGGCTGGTTGAGTTAATTTTTAACACCTACACATTATGAACATCCAACAGACCTCAGATAATTATACACACATAAAAAGCTCTAAGCAACGCGCATCGTTTACAGAAACTATGTTTTATTAATTGTAAAATGAATACATCAAATTTCAAAAAATACTACAAAGCAGCTTTACTTCCTAAACAACTTGCTGCGAAAAACCTGAAGCATGCCTTTTTTCCTAAATGGCTTCACACGGCTTGTGCATTTAGCCAATGTCAAGTGTTGTGTGAAAAACATGTTTACAAATTCTATAGCACTCGCGGTCAAAGTAATAAATCAAGTCAATCCCCCTTTCCCTATGTTTCAGTAAATGTGTGGGGATTTACTGGAACCTCCCCGTGGACTCCTTGAGGGAACGTCGAAAGACACTTTCCGCTATTTTGTTTCACTTGCCAATACTGTGCATATTCCCGAACACTTAATGGTTAATAATCCACCATTATTAGACACTAACATCCGCCACAACACAATTTTTAACAAGAAAAACAAAACTGCCTAAGTGACGCTTTCCGATCCCGCCAAAAAGTCCCTGAAGCATGCTTATCATAGCCACTTGCCACTTTTTTTGTTTTGACTAGGGCCAAGCCAGTGACGCATGGAAGGTGCGAGTAGGGCGACGTTTATGCACGAAATATATTCCAAAATTGAAATTATAACCAAATATCAATTAATGAATAATTTGAGGTTCTCTGTATTCAATTTAATTATGTAAAATTTGCTAAGGGGTAGCTGAAAAACAGCGTTGGTTCAGGTCCAGGTTTGACTAGCATTCTTGTTTTAATGAATTATTATTTAAATATCTGTTACCATGTAAAAAAGACAATAAATTATTATTAATTGATGTTTAATATTTTCCTAGCCAAGTAAATAAGTATACAATCTTTTTTGTTCTCGAAAATATAATTGGCTGATTTTGAAAATGGAAACTTTTAGATGCTTATAATAGAATATTTATTATATTTAAATCACTACAGAAAAATCGTTAAAAAGTTCAAAACCGTACAACATGTAGTTTAGACTTTTTTGATGAGTATATTTGTTATCAAAAACTCTTAGTGGTTGTCGTTCCTCATTGGTTTGTTATCAAAAACTCTAGTGGTTGTCGTTCCCCATTGGTTTGTTATCAAAAACTCTAGTGGTTGTCGTTCCTCATTGGTTTGTTATCAAAAACTCTAGTGGTTGTCGTTCCTCATTGGTTTGTTATCAAAAATTCTAGTGGTTGTAGTTCCTCATTGGTTTGTTAACAGAAACTGTAGTTGTTGTCGTTCCTCATTGGTTTGTCGAATGATTTAAATAATAATGCCGTTACCTCCACCTTTCTTACAATTTACTGTGCAAACTCGATGGCGCAAGTAGTAAGCGCGTTTGGCTGTGATCGTTGATGTTAAGCAACTTAGCAAAAAATATCTCCGTGCTTCGGAAGGCTCGTTAAGCCGTTGGTCCCGGCTGCACCTGCAGTCATTGGCACCCACAAATCCGCACTGGACCCGCGTGGTGTGTAATGGTTCAATTTAGGGAGATTGGATTCTATCCATAGGGAAGGCCTTATGCCCCATCTGTGGGGACATTAATAGGTTAACAATGTTGATAATGATTATGCAATCAAAGTTTAAATAAAAAAAGTAACTATATTAATACATACAACGTCAAATAAATTAGAATCTCAATATACCTAAGTAGCCAAATGATTTGTGCTAACAAAACAAGATACAATGAAGATATTTCTAAAATCAAGACCAATAAGTAACAAAAGTTCATTGGAGGAGACCCGAACCCTCGCAGATGACGTCGCCGTTAAATTTAAAGCTCACATTTAGAGTCTTTGACTGACATCACTATTACTTACTCTTTGCAATCAAGTGATGTTCCAAAGTTTAAAGCCTATAGATATTCTCGGATGCGTTAATGCGATAATGCGCTCTTCTTCTATTGCTTCGTTATTATCGCAGCAGTGTGTAACTTCGTAGTCGTTCTAATGAATGATGAACTAAAAACAGATATCGCAATAACACATCCGATATACCAGACTGTTAATAACGCGCTTATGGGGGAAGGCTTAAACCATTTGAATTCATTTAAAACGACTTTGGTTACAAGAAAATTCAGAAATTTTTCATAATATTGCGAATTATAATCTTTTTAATTCCTTTCTATGTCGCCCATAGAATAACAACGCACTAAGCGTCGCTCAAGGAACCCAGAAACATTATGTACGTGGATTTTCCGTTTCCAAGACATTGGCAAATGATATGCGCACTTTCCTCACACACCAATGAATAATTTTATGTAGCGTGATACCGGCTGAAAACATATTTTCGGGATCAGCGCTGAGCTGGTGCTTGCTCTTTCAAAAGTAATCATTGGAATTAGGTCTTTAATATCTGCTTTTGCACAAAACTGTGTGTACTTTATAATAGGAGACGTTTCATAAAACCTAGATTTAGGATATTTTATAACATTTAATTTTAGCATGTAACGGTTAGATTCTTCTTTTACCTAGTCAGGATTTTGTTTGATATTTTTTTTCTATTAAATTTTTGGGGTAAATCCCTTTTAAATTTTGTATACCGTATTAGGCAGGTGCTGACGAAAAATGATGATTTTCTCTTAATAAAATAAGAAATATTAAAATCTAGAAACTATTAGACTTAAAAAAATGTTGTTTTAGTGAATGTGCTCGCTTAGTACAGTCAGCTCCATAAAAACCGAAGTATGAAGACTGATCAAAATTCTCTTCGCTGTTAGATAATCGTATTGTTGTAACCGGCCAGATTGGTCAATATTATCGAAACAAGATAATTCATAATTATGTTATAAAATAAATAAATATTTCCAACACTCACACCAATTAGCCTAGCCCCAAAGTAAGCACTATAAGGCTTGTGTTATGGGATACTAGAGTAACGAATAGGATACATATATCATGTATGTGTTAAGATAATCAATTATATATTCGCGAATAACTATTCAATGGTATCTAAGCACCCAAAGTTATCAAAAATATCTTGGTAGTAAAGAAAAGTAAACACTAATCTGAGGTATTACGGTCCTTATGTTTTCATTTCGTTCATGAAGTGATAGAAGTGTCTTTTGACGCTGATTTTTAAAATTATGTATGCAAGGTGCAAATTACATGCAACTTGAACATACCTGCATATAAGCTACAATTTGCGTATCAGTTGTACATTTATATTCAATTGACACGCAAATCAAACCGCAAGCGTTATTTGCACATTCCACTTTAGTTAGTTAGTTAGTTGCAGGTTCAAACGTTAACTTACTCAATTGGAAACATCTCCAGCAGAAACTTGTATATGTAACGTCATACTTGTATGCAAAGCTTGCGTAATGGGATCGCACATTAAGTATTTTGAAACAATTAGATTAAAGGTCATAGCACACATGTCAACTTGGAAGCGGATCGATACCGTCTCGCCTTTCGGCTAGCCGTCAAACAGGCGTCCATTTATTAAATTTAATCTATATTTAAGCCTGTTAGAGAAAGTGCATAAGCAGCTCCAGTACGTCGATTCGGCTATGGCTAGGCGACACCGCGCATACGGCTCGCTAACCGCTGGTTGCCGGTTAGGCAGCAAGCACTATTTCAATCAGTTTGAATCCGAACGTGAGTCAGCGGAAGGGGCGTGGACGAAGAGACGTAAACGCGGGAACTGCAAGTTGACCACGCACCGCGGCTCGGGAGCTTGTCCCGAGTTGAGGCGATTACGTTACGATTCCGATTAGTGTACGTTGCAGTATCAAGTTTTATACAAAGAATACTGATCGGTTCGAATTGATACGGCGACGATCCCTTTCCAAGTTGATGTGTGCTATAACCTTTAATTTTATTTAAGTTGAATAATCCATGTAAGCGATGATATTTATGAGTACTCTGAACGCTTAGATGCCAATGAACAGTTACGACGCCTACATTTTAAAGATAATTGTGGTATATTTGGAGACTTTTGATCTGAAGAAATATAAGACTGGTTGGTTGTGTACAATATTCAGATGACTTTAAATGCAAAGATATAATTGAACCTTTGCTTTTAACATAATATATTTGACTATCTTATTACCTCATATTTTTATGAAGCTGACTATACCTAAATAAATGAAAAATATGCTTAGGGATGTATTTAATTTCAAAGTCGAGGGACATTTGAACCACAGTGCGTCATTATAATGGCAACAAAATAGCAGTGGACAAAACTAAGTGTCTGTTTATTGTAGGTATCAGTTTCACTCTAAAAGAAGTCCAAAAGTAACCTGATGGCGCAGTGCCGATGCCTAGAAATATATTATCGCGAGTTTGTCAGTGCTTCGGGGGGCACGCTCATCAGTTAGTTCTGGCTGCATCTGCAATTGTTAGCACCACCAACCACTGGGTTCACGTGGTGGATAGGGAAGGTCTATGCCTCAGCAGTGCGGAAAATAAAACACTAATAACAATTTACGAGTTTAGAAATAAATACGCTAGCTAATATCCCACCTGTTGTAAACTAACATACATGACCAGCGCTTGACTTGATGCCTATGGCGGCCGAACACCACTGGTCCAAACCCGTAACACAAGAGCGAGAGGAGCAACATTCCCATTCTCCTTATTCCCTAAATAGGATAGGTCTATGCCCCAGCGTTCGTTGGGTCATTACACATTGGAGACATAATGATATTCCCCCTAGACGTGGAAATAAACGTAATAGCTTCTTACCTGTTGTAAGCTAAGACTCTTGACCAGCACTTGGCTTGAATGCGTATGGCGGCCGAACCCCACCGGTCCGAACCCGTAGCAGAGCAGCGATAGAAGTAACACCAGCGTCTGCACTGTGCTGACCCACCACGTAAAGTAGGGCCGGTAGTCGTTCATCTCGTCGAGCTGGCGGGCCACGTCTTCTTGACGGGTCACCGATTTCCGAAGAGACCGTCTGGAAATACAGAATTAAGGAGGTTTTATTTCACCGTCATCTCTAAAGCTATAGGAGAGTAAAATAATTATTACTACCTACAATGTTCTTTCAAAGGAGAACACGTTCTGGCCTAGTATACCACGAACAAAGAAATATGATAAGTAATTCTGCACGATTATCTAATGGAACGAAACACGTAGTATTTCAAGGGATGCAGAAGCATCTTGCAAGTAGAGAATTTAAAGATAACAGGAGTATCATGTAAAATTATCAAAAAAAGACCAGAAATAAATAACAACTTGTATCAGGATTTTTCGAAAATCTTCCCTAAGAGGGTAAAAAAGGGGGTGAAAGTTTGTATGCAAAATCTTATTCTTTGAATTAATAGCATTAAAACTTGGAGCGAATACTTCTGTAAATAGATAATAAAGTATGCCATTTTTGGTTTGCCTAAACTACCCCTAAAGGGGGGACTGGAGGATGACGAAGTTTTTATATGAATGAATTTTATCGCGCAACTCGAAACTCAATATTTATACTTGAGATCAGAAATAAAAAATAGCATGTATCTAGAGTTTTGAAATTCTTCTCCTGGGGGCTAAAAAAGTAGATGAAAGTTTGTATGAATAATTGTATTCCTTGGGTAAATAGATTGGCAAAAATAATTACCTAAATGTATTATAAAGTTTATTATTTTTAGTTTTCCTTAACTACCCCTAAATAGAAGATTGAGAGTGTCAAAGTTTTATATGGATGAATTTTATCGTGCGGTTAGAAATAGTAGTCTAATTTGATACATGGGCAATGCGGAAATTTTAATTATAGGTCACCTTGTATGAAAAACAAAAATTGCACTAAGAGGTATCCCAAGCCTCTACTTAGTGAAACACAAACCGGGGACGCCGGCTAACCGTTATATAGACTTTTGACATTAATGGGGTAGAGATTGACAACCGCTGGGTAGTTCCATATAATCCAGTTCTGATGAGATAAAAGCATGTTTTAAAAGATTATCATTGTGGCCCTCAGTTAAAATTTTAAAATTAACAGAAAATATGAGAGTTCTCCTTGGAGGTGATGTTACCGCTAGCTAATTTACGAATCTTTTACTAAAACTGGATAACGGTTATTACCCAGAAAAAGAAGGCATGATATCTGTCCCTTTCGATCTGTACACTTCAGTAACAACAGCTGAAAACCTTATCTCAAAAATTAATCCATTGCGGGCAATAGAAGTAGGGTGCATTAGCGCAATAACGCATCCGATATTATCGACCAATAGTAACGCGCATATGGGGGGGAAGGCTTTATGTGTCAGAATTAGGTATTCGCATACCAAAATAAAACAATAATTGTGCTTGCAAAGTTTAGTCACCGGATTTGAAATCCAGTTTTCTATTATTACATCGCATAACATTTTCCACAGTTTCATAGCGCTGTTTATTACCTCGGAAGCATTCGATATATTACTAGACTACAGGGAATCCGGTTCATCCAATGGAAATCGGCCAATAGCTCGCAGGCTCATAAATAATCCACCGTCACAACCAAGGGGTATTAATTCAAAAAACCATTACAGCAACTTTTAAATGGAAGCTATCCACGTAAACACGGTGATATATTAGGGGCGCGCTTAAAATATGGCCGGATCATGCTGGTTCTTGTATTATTTTTAAACCTTGCAGGTGTCACATTACACAAGATTCATTACAATAGTAAGCTCGTAGCAAATCTAATTTATGCGACAAGTTTAAAGATTGCAGGGAATTCAGCGGATTAATTAACCTGAGCCGCAAGTTTATTTTTAAGGCCACCTTGGCTTGGAAGAGTGTGCGTGACGTAAGAATAATATAGGCCAAGTCTTACCTTCTATACGAAATAGATTTAAGCTCTATTTATTATTACGATTACTATTCTAAAGACTTTCTATATACTATTGGACAACATTGTACAAGGTCGGCCATAGAATATGTGACTAAAAATTATACAAACAATCTATGTCCTCACTGTTTTCCTCATAAAAGACCAACTGTGAGTCTTGTCAGGGTTCCGTAGTCCTGACAAGGAATCCTTATAGTTTCGTTAAGTCCATTTTTCTGTCCGTCCCCGATTTCACTTGGAGACTATTAGCACTACAGAGCTGTATTTTTTGTGGAGATACATTGCCGACCAAATGGTAGAAAAAAATATTGAAATATATTTGTTTTAGGGTTGTTCCCCTACATGTAACCTGGGGATTTGTTTTATCATCTAGCCCATCGTGTGGGTGTCGTTGAATAGGTCCTTTAAAAATAATTAGGATCCGTTTGCGAAATATTGAACTTTAAAGTGCTAATTTTAACTATTTCTTTAAAGATTTATAAAAAATTCGTGCTTTTCATAAACTTCTAAGGAAAATTTTAACGGTTTAAATACATTTGTTAGTTTAAAAATAATAGTCGTTCAACTTACGAGTGTGTTAACTTATGTGTCGTTTTAAACTTTCATGGTCACTAACATTATAGCTATTAACGGGATTGTTACCATGTATCTTGTTTTTTATGAGTCTCCGATATTTCGGCACTGTTAATAAAGACTCTTTCAAAATAGTATATTTCATTACTAGTACGGAATGGTTGTCATTGCAAAGAGTTCCGACAAATGTCTACCCGAGCCGAAGGCGAGGGTTGACAGTCGGAACGAGTTGCAATGACGGTTCCGTACGTGTACTGAACGACTATTTTTAATACAGTTGCGAAAAAATGAAGCAATTTAATCAAATTATAAAAACACAATAAACTCAATTAACTAATCATTTATTTCTTATAAAAGTTATAATTCACATATACATTGAAATTGGTACAGTTTTTTATACTAACTGGGGAAGTTTTACGTTGCATATTTACTGTTTGGGACAAACTATTATTAATTTCGTATGATTGTTCATGTATATTTGTCATACAATGGCGTTTGCTAGTTGATGGAATTGGATCTGATGAATTATCATTATCAACGAAGGTACTCGTAGATGGACGAACGTTCTCTTCAGCATGTGAAGGAGACGGACTGGACCTTAAATTAATGGATTGTGTGATCTTTTTCCCAGTTTCTAGTTTGTTATTTAATGAATCACCAATATAGCTTTCTGCAACTTTGTCCGATTTCCAACCACCTAGTCGCTTTAAGGACGTCAAATTGGCTTCTGAATCTGCCAATAATGTAGCAGAGGTCCTTCTGAAGCTGTGCCCAGTATAACACTCAGCATCCGGCAGACGGAGAAACGTAGCTATTTCTTTTGGCATATTACCAAATTTGTTTATGCCGATTACTTGAGCTGTACACTTCCCTTTTTGGAAATTTTGTAAAAAACGGTCGGATTTTCCTTTTTGGGACCGCTGGTTCATATATTTTTTCACTACTGTGAGAAAATCTCCTTCTCAACAAAGCTTCGCGGTATCTTATTTTTTGTGTTTGGAATCTTGATAAGTAGCATTTCTCCATGGGCTTCAATATCTTTTAAAGTAATATTGGCTAACTCCTCTCTGCGGCAAGCTCCAACAACGCTAAAAATCAGAGCAACCTAAAAAAACATGTCTCAGAAAACGGTTCTATGCAAACAGATTTTGTCTCCTACACGGTACATTTTTACATTTATTGATGTGATGCCTATTTATTTACGTAGCCCTACGCGTTATCTACCTAATACAACAAGTTTCTAACAAGAATATCAACAAACAACAGCTCTACGGCCCTATAAAGATTACAAATTAAAAAGTCTTAAAAAACCTACTTACATTCACTTAATGCCTAACTATCATATATCTTTTTATAGAAGAAGTAAAAACACACAAAACAACATCATTATTATTACAATTATACCTATATCCTATCGACTATTCGTAAAGAACCATTTCCAACATTTTCCTTAATTACGCCTAAACTACTAACACGATTTATACAAGACTTTGACATATTATTCTTATAACTACCTATTTTCTAATAAGACATAAAATAAATCAATCAAAACATAAAACATACTATTATCGAAAACTATCAACTCAGGCAAAATCCTATAAGATGTGAGACAAGGACAGCCTATTGTCTCTGTCCCTCCTATAGGTCGGAACTATCAACATTCTAACTAGTTTCCCCGCGCCACCGCTTGGCGTCGTGGCGATCGTTTAGACAAATTCTTATAAGATTGTTGGAGAGAACGGGGCGGAATATCGCTCTGAACTATCAATTTTACAATGGTTTACTATGGGCAAAGCTATCTATTATTGCGATATCCGACTCATTCTAATAAGACAACAAGGGAATGATATTTTTAATGTGTATACAACCGATACATGTGAAATCATAGATACATTTTATAAATCAATCTCATATTGTCGTAAGTTCATTTCCTTTCGCTTCGGTCGTCGCGTACAAATGTATTGACTGTATTTTGCGATTTTGTAAACTGAACACTAAAGAAAAATGTAGATATGTATACTTATTAATAAATTACCTTTGTGGCTAAATAACAATCATCGGGAGCTTCTTTCAAAAACCTTTCCACGTCATTCGATGTTAATATTTTCGACTTTTTACTGGTAAACCCGTCTGATTGTCGTTTTAAGAAAGAATTTAATTTTGGATATTGACTTATATCCACGTTGTTCCTTATTTTCAGCATACTTTTCATCATCGAAAACCTTGACCATAACGTAGAAGGTTTTAATTTTGCTGAGAGTTCGGAAAAGTATGCCAACATAACATTTTCTGAAAAACTATTTGCTTTTTTCTCTTCTTTCCACGCAATAAATTCATCGTATGTAGATATGTAGCGAATTTTTGACTTTTCCGGTAAAATGTTCTCCGAAGCATTTTGTGCAATTATACTGAGTTCCGGTGGAGTTAATTCAAAAAAATTTAGGTCGAAATTACTCATTTTGTGTAAAAACAACTAAACTCGCAAAGAAAATTTCGGAAAATGGCGCCAACCGTAGAATGTAAGCAGTTCTTTTTCAACTATTCTGGTAGGCAAAGGGAACTGC